TCCATTAAAAAAGATTAGAGCGACCTAGACCTTAAAATATTCATGCTATAAAGAAAAAACTGAAAAAAAATAGGTTGCCACTATAGTGGCTTCAGCCCCGCAAAGGGTTAACGGTATCTTATTCCGTTCGATTTTTTTATTATTTATTTTTTAATAGGAGGGTCAAATTTTATAGATGTATATATATTAAAGAGAGTGGATTGGTCAATATTTCTATAGTTATAATAATATTTATAAAGGTTATTTTTGGATCCTTAATAGGGTGGATTTTTTATTTTGATTTTTGTGTAATTTATTTATCTATATTTAATAAGTTATTTACTTTAGGATGTTGTTTTCTTGGGAGATTATTAGCGGGGTTAGAGTAATAATATTGAGGAAATTTATATGAATATATTATTATATATATTTTTTTGGGAGGGCCCCGTTTGCCTACAAATTTTTTGCTACAGCATCTTTTGCCTACATCTCTTTTACCTACAAATCGATTGCCTACATGCAATATTGCCTACAGCTCGATTGCCTACATACACTTTTGCGCACAAATAAAAATTTTGGAAACGGAGTTACTTTTGCCTACATGCATTATTGCCTACATATACTATTGCCTACAAGTATTATTGACTACAGATCTATTGCCTACATGCCCTTTTGCGCACAAATAAAAATTTTAGAAACGGGCTTATATTTGCCTACATGTATTATCGTCTACATGTACTATTGCCTACAAGTATTATTACCTACAGCTCTATTGCCTACATGCACCTTTGCGCACAAATTAAAATTTTAAAGACGGAGTTACTTTTGCCTACATATATTATTGCCTACAAGTATTATTGCCTACAGCTCTATTGCCTACATGCATTTTTGCGCACAAACAAAGATTTTAGAAACCGAGTTATTTTTGCCTATAAGTATTATTGCTTACAGCTCTATTGCCTACATGCACTTTTGCGCACAAATAAAAATTTTAGAAACGGAGTTACTTTTGCCTACAAGTATTATTGGCTACAGATCTATTGCCTACATGCACTTTTGCGCACAGACAAAAATTTTAGAAACCGAGTTATTTTTGCCTACAAGTATTATTGCCTACAGCTCTATTGCCTACATGCACTTTTGCGCATAAATAAAAATTTTAGAAACGGAATTACTTAGCCTACATGCATTATTGCCTACATGTATTATTGCCTACGTGAATTATTGCCTACATGTATTATTGCCTACATGAATTATTGCCTACATGTATTATTGCCTACAAGCAATTTTGCGCACAAGTAAAAATTTCAAAAGTAAAATCACATTTGTCTACATGTATATTGCCTATACGTATTATTGTTTACAATTTGATTGTCTACAAGTATTTTGCGCACGAATAAAAAATTAATTAAGACTAAAGTCACGTTTGCACACACGCCGCATTGAAAACATGATATATTATATTATTGCCCATAATATTATTGCATATAGATTATCTTCAAGTTGTACTGTTGCAAATATTATTTATAAGATTCCGGATTTTACGTCGTATACTGCCCCAGACAATACATCACAATATTTATAAAATATTTAGAAAGCGTTTTCACAAATATGTATAAGATTTATTTTTAATATTTAAATGAAATATTTATTGTAAATATCATAGTAAATGCTGTGAAAATAATTAATGAGACGTTATAATCCAAGTAAGAAATATTTGTCAGAAATAATTATTTATATTGATCACAAATATTATACACAATGTTTAGTCTATTATACTTTAATACTCGGAATAAAGTTCTATATAAAATATAAACGAAATATGTATATAACATTAAAAAAAATGAATAGTAATAAATATTTACTATAAATATTTTGTGCTATATGGGGCAATACACGAATT